AGCAGGTCTTCATCTTCGTTGAGCCACCGATGCCGGAACGTCCCAATCCATTCACAGAATTTCTCAACAATAACTTTTTGATCTTTAAATTCCTTCGACTTCTGCAGCACAATGAACGAACTCTCGGGAAACGCATCTTTCATTTTTGCTTCCAACGTCTCTTCTGCTTTGCCCTCGTGTATCAAACACACATAAATCCGCGTCTTACCGGGTACAAGTAGCTTCAAATAATATTGCCAGAAATATACAAAATCCCATTGCTTCGACGTTATGGATATAACATAACAATCATTCACTGCAAAATCAAGTGGTAACGGACACTTATTCGTGTGGAATATCGGCATGAAAAATCGCGTGTTCTTTGTAAGTTTCGAGCTTGGAAGATCGAAGATGTCGTTCTCGCTCGAGACCAATATCACGTCTCCAGAACTCCACGACAACGGCATCCAATTCTTGAAGCATTCTTCTAATACACCAACTCCGCTCTCATTCGACAAGATGTGCATTCGAGTGACTAACGGTGGCGGACAACACCTTATTTTGTCCTTTGTAATGACCGGGTGAATGACTGGAAGATATCTCAAATCAGTGTTGTTTGACACATCAAACACTCTCAGTTTTGTTAGCTTCGTTTGGTTCTTCGAGATGAACACAAAATTATTCGAATTGATTTTGAGCTCCTTCAAACTTGTTAACTCATAGAGCCATTCGGGAAGGGTACTCAACTTATTCTTGCCGACATTCAGTTGTGTCAACAGCTTCAAATTCTCCAATTCGTTCGGAATCATTTTTTGATCACACGACTCAAGCTTCAGTTCTTTCAATGTGGTCAACTGTCTCAATATCGAAAAACTCGCAAATTTGTTCTCAGAGATATCCAACATCCTCAGATTCGTCAGCTTCACTAATGAAGTCTGCAAACAGTTTTTCAAGTTGCGCATCACGACAGTTTTCAGTCCAATGGGGTACTCAAATTTTCTGAATCGGGGCATATCCATCTCTTGGGACGAAATGTCCAAGTACTTCAAATTTGTCAACGTTTTCAGTTCTGGCATAAAGAAAGGTGCGTTCGTTGTCCCATTCCTCGACACATCAAAATACGTCAAAGTCGTCATGGGACTGAAGAAGTCGTACGGAAAGTAATTGACTTGGCAATTCGAAAGGACAAGTTTCTCGAGGACAGGGAATGTCTGCAAACACTCCGGCACAAGTCGTAATGGGTTGTTACTCAAATCGACCATCTTCGCTTTAAACACGTCTTTCACATACGGAGGTATTTCGGTCAGAGTCTGTTGGTCGTGCAAATCAAAGTTTTCTGCCGCCGACGAGTTGAAGAGACCCGAGTGTTTACTCGTGTAATTCATCCACTCAAAGAAGAATTTCGGTGAAGGAAACAATTGCACCGGAGCGACATTCGGTACCAAAAAGTCAAAGTCCTCTCCCAAAAACTGCTCTTTCCCAAAGATGTCTTTATGGAGGTACAAATAATGAAACAGCCCACAACTCTTTGCATCAACAAACACTCTAAACCGTCCTGAATTGCAGTGTTTATACAAAAACTCAATCAATTTCGTGTTAAACCCAAATTGCTTTGGAAATAAATACATGTACGAGTCTACAATCATCAAAAACGCAACAAAATGCATCGGAAACACCCTTTTCTTGTTGACCGTGCTGAAGTACCCCAACTCCACAAACTCTTTGTAAATCACTTCGATGAATCCTCCAAAACTTCGGTAATATTTATTTGTCAGAACGAGAACTAAAGAGGTGATGACACCAATTTCAGACGCATTTCTGTTGTACGATGTTATTAATATCGACCGGCCAGATCTGAGCTCTAATATAATGTTTTTTGTTGATCGCATGAGGCCTTCTTGATACCCAACAAACCGGTCGACGACATCTTGGAGACGTTTGCATTGGTCGTCGTCGCACGTTTGTAATGCGTCCAGTAGCTCCTTCTGTATTGCATTTGCCTCTTCTTGTGTTTTGAGACACGACTGTTTCGAAAGGCTTGTTTCCGTTTTAAAGAGAAATTCCCTGACCATGAAAGTGTCGAACGTTGGCTTCAAATTCGACGAACACGACAAGATAGAATCTCCTTTGTCGTTCATGATGTACTGTAATCGGAATAAAAAGGCTCCACTCTTCAGTTCTCGATGAATCAATAACGGTGCCAATTCAATGTCTTCTATCCGTTCCGGTACTTCAGTTATCATTGGAAACCCTCTGATCACTATCGCCTCCCGCCCAGACAACTTCTTGTTCTTGTAGCTACTCTGAAATACATACAACGGATTCGTTCCACTCATGTCGATGCCAATTCGTTTCGCAGTACGTTGCCAGACCCCTTCAAATATGTTTTCAAGACAGAAATGTTCGCAGTCGTCAACATAAAACCCACTCTCATCAACTCGACTCGTCATGATACACACAAGCTCTTTGAAATTCTTGATCTGATTTTCTGGCAGAGAAAAGTGGAGTATTCGGTGATCCTTCGATATGATCTTCAAACAGAAAATGGGCTGCTTTCCTCCTCCTTTAACTACCCTCACATCATATATCATTTTTAACGGGACTTGATCGAAAAACATACAATGGCCCATCCCCACCGGGTTAATGATTTCATTCGAAACAATCCACATCAGTCTGTAATTCGTTAAATAAAGTCTTCCGTCTTCCCACGTTTTGATATTTTCGTTGTTCAATTTGTATTGCGTCGGTATCATGTAAATGGGTAGTTTCACGTGGTCGACAACCTCATTCACAACTTCTCCGGCATACAACCGACTCGCCTCAAGTAGTCGATTTGTCTTCGGCTGCTGGATTTTCTGGTTTTCAATACATTCATCCTATTACTGTATTTCCAACAATAAAGTGGTGCACCAAACTTAAACAAAACTATGAAATGTTGTTGTCCAATAACAATGAAAACAAACGTTCGAGAGTTTTGGTTCAAGTTGGACTAAAAAGAACATTTTTGTGATGTTGACGTTTTTCGATGGACAAATGAACCCAAATACCGTGTTTAAAAACAACTCTTTGTAATAGTAATAGCAGCTGTTCTGGTCCGAGACCATCTTATATGCAAATTTCAATGTTCTCTGGAAAACGACTCCGTTGTGTGTGTTATAGATGAACTTCCTTATTTCAGAGAGAAAAAGTGCTTCGTCGTGTTGGAATTTTTCAACTATTGCAAACAACTCAAGTGCTTTATCTTCTGTGATGAGTGGCGAATTCATCGCAAAATAGTTTCTGATTGTCATGAAGCAAATGAGGTGTTGTTCATCCTTTGTAGTGTCAGTGAATGGTTTCACATTATTGATGTCGTACCCTCGCTGCAATTCAAACATCTTTCGAAGTGCTTTGTCGGTCTTCATTTTCATTTTCAAAATCTTTTTGCCGAGTGTCGACTTGGCCTTGTATTTCTGTATGATCTGAGCTATTTCAGTGATCTTCTCGTTTTGAATACCAATTTTCTTTAACTTGATCTCGTCGAAGTACCGTATCTCTTGTCCAACGTGTTTCCCAATGACATAAAGAGTGAGTCTGTCCGCTCCAATCTTCTTCACCCACTCGACTACGTCTTCGTTGGTCATTAAAGAAAATGGTTTCAGTGCTTTGTGTGTTGTCGTCGCCTTCTCAATGAATCTAAAAGTGTTTTCCAACACCAAAGGGACATCGTCCAATGTGAGTTTTGATATATGAAAATGTGGTGCGATGTGTTTGTCGTCGGGTGTTTTTTGCTCTTGTGGTTCATCGGAGCGGAAAGAGTCAAAATCCGTCGTTGTCTGGGTCCGTTCTGACATTTGCCCGGGAGCAGACCTGGCCTCCGTTTTTGCTTGGCGCCGTTCAAAGAAGCCAGGTTTCTTCCGTTGGAAATAACTTTGTGTGGTGTTCACACTCATTTTTTCCAAATAAAAATTCAGTTGAATTTTTGTTTTTTTTGGTCGGTTATTTTTTTTATTCTCAACTTTTTGTGCTTAATTCATTTCTTCAGAAATACTCAAAATGGGTGCAAAAAGTATTAGAAGATGTAACTGGTAATTGATTTATCTTTTTGTCAAGAAAAAAAGGCATTTTGTGAGTACCTTTTTATAGTTTCTTTCTTTATGGTTTTTTTATTTCAAAATAGATATAAATAAAGCAAAAAAACTGTATTATTATTATTAATACTTGTTATATTTAATTATCATCATTTAATAATAAAAGTTTTTTTTATCTATAACAAACTTTTATTATATTTTTTTATTTAATAAATAATTAACACACCACCAAAAAAATGCAAATAATAAAAAATGGTAAATAAAATGAAATAAAAAACAATGAAAAAAAAATTTATTATATAATAATATTATATAATAATATATATTTCAAATTAAAAATGAGTTAAAATTGTAGGTTAAGAAAATATTGTAATGATTTAAGTATGTAACTTATTTTATAAATACAAGTCATGAAAAACAAATTTACTAATATATTAGTTTATTAATAATAATATAATTTATAAAATTATATACTTATTAAATACTGGTCTTATATAATCAAAACTACATAGTAGAAATAATAAGTCCACACAGTTCATGAATTGTTATGTTTTACAATTGAGTATTGTTATTATCAATTGATCATTTTGTTCTGACATTTCAGTTAATGTTAAAACGTTTTGTGTTACTTTGTTTAGTTTATAAAGTCGGAGTTCAATACTTAAATTTGAATTGTAATAACAAATTGTATATAAATATTATAAATTTACTATATAAATATAGTAAATACATTGGGATTGAAAAATTTAATATAAACACGAGTAAAAACTGATAACGAAAATGATTCTTTTCGAACAACTAACACTATTTACATTTGTTATCACACACCAACAACGAACGTCTTTATCTTTAGTGGAGTTGTGGGGATAATAAATGTTTTTGCTCCTTTATTAATAACATTATAATATTATTATTTTTAATAGTTTTAGACATTTTGATTGTATAATAAATTAAACTATAAATATACCAATCATAAAATCAATTAAAAAACATCAATTCTCAGTCTCTTCTGACTTCGCGGTGATATTCACCTTCTTGATCTCTTCCTGAAGTTCCTTCATTCTATCTTTTTCGGCCTCTGTTGTCGGTTTTTTGAACTTGCTAATTATTCTGTTTGTTGGTGGAGTTAATCCACTTTTGAGTCTTCCATTCTCGTCGATTTTTGGTGGGTTATTTTTGTCGTGTATAACTATCGCCTGACCAATATCCCCTGTTTTATAGAGAGCAACGTCGTCATACGATTTATGTGTTTCAACGACACATGGAAGTCTCACAAGGGTCGCGCAAAACTCTTTGTTATTAAACGTGCATGTTCCCGAGTTTTTACCTTGTGGAATGTCAATTTTAAGTTTGACATCGCCTTTCCTGATTTGTTCTCGGAGAACGGCTGCCTCTTCTTCTGGAAGGCGGAGTAACACTGGTTGTTCCATTGGAATATGAAATCTGTCGGCGTCATCGCGGATAGCCAAACTGACGGAAAGGTCGTCCAAACTCTCGTCTCCTTTTTCTGTCGTGTCGTCTTTCTCTTTGATGCTCATTCTATTTTAAATAGTTCAAAAACCAAATCTTTAAAAACTAAACTAATTGATTTATTTTGTGATTGATTCTTTTTATTCTGTTAATAAATAATTTATAATTAACTGTATTGATGGTTAATTACTTTTTAAATACTATAATTAATTAGTTATTTAATCAATAATTGTAATACAGTAAATCAACACTAAAAATCATTTTTTATAGAAATTAATAATATCCGACATCAACTCACTATTCACATCTTGCGGAAAGTCGGCCATATGACTTTTGATGATATCTTCCAAAGTACTTTTCGTGAGAGCCTCGGGGTGTGCACCGTTATTTGTAATTCTTCTCAGATCCTCTATTGAATGAGTGAAACTATATTTTTATTATTACAAAAGAATAATAAATAGTTTATTTTTATAGTTTGAAAATATTAAAACAAACCATTAATTTTGTTTATCATATACTGTCTCCACCCATTCTCCGAAAGTTTGTTGTAGTTTTTCATTACAAGCGACTCGGTGGCTGGGTTTTGAACAAAGAACTGCACTTGGTTTTCCTCGATGTCCACATTAGTCGACTTAACTGCCATCTCTCATTTTTTAGTTCTTTTGAGTTGGTTTTATAAAACAAAATACCGAAAATAGAAATGTTTATTATTTTTTTGTCAGACCGACATTATATGACGGGTTATATTCAACAAAAAACTATTAAAAATATTATTATTTATTTATTTGAACAAATCATATATTTATGATTTTATTTATTAATTTTTTTGTTTTTACAAAAAAATTGTTAATAAAATTTGCTATTTTATCAAATAAAATATTAATTATTAAAATAGATTTTGTGTTAAGTTTCAATTAGTTTTTCAATAGTAAAATATTTAAACAATTGATTATCTCAAAGAACAAATTAACGGAAAAACAATTAAATAACATAAAAATTATGATTTTCTTTAATAATTAATAAATTATAATAAAAATATTAATTAAATTATTAATAAAAAATTTGGTTTTTGATAGTTTTATTTTTTAAAATAATAATGGTAGTATTTGTTATTTTTAATAGTTTTTGAATTTAAACTTTTTATAATAAAAGATCTATTTATTCGAAACCAAATTTTTATGTTTTTTTTATATTTTTAGCAAATTTTTCAAATAGTAAAAATTTGCCAAATATTTATCAAACAAATTGTGAAGTAAACAATTTGCATAATAACTCAAATAATTTCGAAGTAAAAATTACAAAAAAATTAAAAAACTGCAAACTTACATGGTGTCTGAACGTTTAAAGAAGATACTGACATCGTATGAGATGTACCAATGTGTTTTAACAACGTTAAGTCCTTTGATTTTTGTATTGTTTTTGATCATCGCACTTTTAACAAGCATTCCTCCACACGCACCAACCCGTCCATCAACCCCAACAAAACCCTATTTTGTTCTTCTTCAGATCAGTGACATTCATGTGAACACTTTTCTTGACGGACATGAAGTTGGTAATTTAAGACAGTTTTGTTCTGAGTTACCAAAGATAACCCCAGATGGTGTGATAGTCACTGGTGACTTGTGTCATAGCAGAAGGCGGGGAATAGGGTTTTACCCCGAGAAGCATGAGGATGAGTACGACTTATATAGTTCTACTGTCAGTGACTGTATGGCGTTATATAACACAACGTGGTATGATTTAAGAGGCAATCATGACGTTGATGGAGTTTATGGGAGAGACAACGCTTTAATGTATGTTGAACAACACCTTCATAGTAACATTGATGTGATGAGTGTGAATTACATTGAGTTCAAAAAAGGTGAAGACAGTGTCAGAGTGGTTGGCGTGGATAGTTACTTGAACGCAATGATTTCAATGGAAATTGAAGGGTTTTTGTCTGAAAATAATGTCGGCAAATTATTTGAGTTATTTGATAGTGACAACACTTATAAAGTTCTTGCGACTCACCACCCATCTACGGGAATCATATCTAATAACAAAAGGTATTTATCGGATCTCATCGATGAGAAATATGGAGAGAATAATCCAATTTCAATTGCCATTTGTGGACATTATCACAGAGACTACGCTGCGGCATATCACAACCACTACTTCGATGCGGAATTGGTTACTTTGCAATATGGAAAGTATCGCGTTTTGGTATTCAAAAATCGTGTAGCACAGTACTTCGATTTTGTGATTGGAGAGCTCCCAATAGTTCCAATATGCCCAGGAGAAAAGGTCACATGTGAAACAACAGAGATCTACATTGGTTATATTGTCGACTCTGTCAAAGTGATTGGTCTCAAAACACGGAAAGTGGAGGAGTTAACAAGTGAAGACAAACACCTGTGGACTTCTCCATTGAAATTTGAAGAAGACATAAAGGTCGTTGTGTCATATGAAGGTAATGAAATAGAACGTGAATTCAAATTTGGGTCGCAGTACAACCACTTTATGAATGGATTTTTCATCATGTGGAGGCTCAAAGACTGTGCAATAGGCTTTTCTGCATTAGCTTTCATCTTACTCTGCCTCAGAATCTTCTCTGGTTTATTCTCGAGAAAGTTTGTTGTACTTCAGAAGATACCAATTTTGGGTCATTACAGTTTTGTCCCACAACCCATACTCCTCTTTGGACTTTTCCTTGCCGTTCTGATGTATTTTATTCCAATGATAGTTGGGTACAATTATTTCCAAGATCATGGCAACATGGTTTTGGTGTATGCTGGTGTCAATTTCGCGAAAATTGGAATCTTTGGGTCACACTTTGTTTCGCATGGATATGCAGTCCATGGGTTTGCTTGTATATACATTTGGATGTTCTTGTACACTGTTGGACACTCGTACAAGAAGAATCTGAAGCGGACGGAAATAGGAATCGACTTGTTGTGGATCCTTTGGCTCATTTTTGGGGTCGCATACTCCTATATGCTCCACATCTCATTTTTCTTCTTCTCACCACTTTCTTTCATTCAATTCATTCTACTCGTCATAGCAAAGTACATATGCTGGTACAACTCAAAGTATAAGCCTGAAAAACAAGACGAAGAAAAAGATGACATTAAAACGCCACTCACACACATCGCCGATCAGTCAAAAGGTGATGATAAAGAAGAAAATGTTCCACTCTAATAGTTGTTATTCTTTTAATTTGTTTGTAAAGTCTGATTTTTAATTAACGATATTCCAAAAATACAACAAGGAAATTTACTATATCTGTTTTTTATATTATAATGTATAGTATCGACCATCGCTAATTAAAAACCATAAATAAATAGTAAATTTCTTATTATTTTTTACCATTTGACATTCTCAAAGAAACGATGGTTGTCGATCTTTTTCTTTGCTTTTCAAATCAATTGGTATGACCTATTAACCGCCTTATAACTATGACACTTCTGTGATTAACTATTGTAAATGGTGTGCTGGCTTTTTTGACATTACTCGAGAATTCGCCAGAGAGGAATTACAAACTCCACATTTCTTGCTTTCCTTTTTTGAATGAATAATTTGGTTAACGAACAAATTTGTAACATTTCGGGAAATCGTTCAAAACGCCAAAATAATCGTTTCAAATTTTTTATCAATTTATTAACATTTTTATAAAACATAGTATAGTATATATATATACAGATAGCGTAATTATTGGGTGTCATATAAATATTGGGTGTCAGACTTTTTACTTCAAAAAGTGTACATTTGTTCAAATAACAAAATTTAAACGAAAAATAAAAAAACATAAAAAACCAAATATCAATGCAAGAAGAAACACTCCCCACAAATCCATTTTCAATTCAAAATATTCATGTCGTCGTTCCTTTAAAATTGATGGATATTATGTCACCTCTATTCATTCAACTACATCCAGAAATTACAAAACCGACAAAAGTGAAAAAGTTGATTATCGGAATTAATTGTTTTGAAGAAATGGTTAACAATGTGTTTTGTGCCAGATTCAATTATGAATATAATTCACCAAACAAAACAAACTATACATTGAAAGATATTGAAAACGCTGAAGAGATATTAAACTTTTTTGAGTATGATTCTTTGTTTTTCAAATTTAAATCTAGAAGAGAACAAATTGGTTTATTGTACTCTTTATATGGAGATGTTCCAGAGGTTACATATAGAGCTGTTGGAGTATTGTTTGGAATTCAAAACAATGTAGTTCAGAAAGAGAAATTACAATATACTAAAGACTTAAAATTGGGCAGAAGAAGTGTGGGAAGACCAAGTTTTTTTTTGATGATAGGACAGAGTATATAACAAATTCATTTGTCAAGTATTGTTCAACACAAAAGCTTGCCCTCACAATGGCGTCTTTTGAAAAATTGGTAGAAATAATAACAGGAAGAAAAATTAACCAAGAAACAATAAGAAAATGGGTACTCAGAACCTTTAAACTAAAGTCAGTGACAGGAAAACCGGAAGATATTGGGAGACTGTCAATTAATCCTTCTGAAGTAGTAGATAACTATATCCAATTAGCTCAACTGAATGGGACAGATTCTCGACTTGTTTTTAATGTCGACGTAATTGGTTTTCAAGATTTTTGCTGATCAAAAAAACTGTAAAAGTTCTTGTATCGGAAAATGTTGAAATTGAAAATATCAAAATTGGTGTGGGAAGATCAAATAAAAGATCACCTGTTATTTGCATGATTTGTTTGGATGGGTCATTAATTTGCACAGGTGTCATCATCGCCAATAAATCAATCAACGTAGATTTAATCAAATCTTATTCAGACGTCTCATTCTTTTATAGTAGTACTGGGTTCGCAACCAAAGATATATTTGTCGAATGGATGTTTACAGTGGTTGTACCGTTCATCATTGCAAAACGTTTTCTTCTCAAGGTTCCTCATGATACTGTTGCAGTTATTACGATGGATGGTTTTAGCGGTCATGACTTTGATACACTCAAAAAAGAACTGCAACAGTATAACATTGTACTCCATAAATATACTGCTCATTGCTCTCATCTTGTTCAACCGCTAGACCTGGCATTGTTTGGAGTCTGGAAAAAGAAAAGCAACATAAGAACTCCTTTTTTCCGTACATCAGTGGAAAGTTCTTCTCTTTCAGTTGCATCAAAGAGAACGTCAGTCATAAACAACAGCGCTTTTACTGTTCCAATTGATGATTTAGAAGAACCCAATATCAATTTGAGAGGAGCTCTCGAAGAAATAGTAAAATGTATTGCAATGGAGAGCAACATTGCTAGAGATGCCACCAAAGGCAAACAAGAGAGAGTCGCTACTGGTGAGAGACTTAAATTATCAATTAATAAAATCATTAATGCAATGGACATCTCAACCACACATGAAGTCATTGTGTCTTCTTTTAAAAGAGCAGGTATTATTTCTGTTTTTAAAGATAATGGCTTAAAAATGTACGTTGACATTAGATCAACAAGTCGTTTAATAGAAGAGTACAAACTATTTTTTGAAACCAATGTATTCCTAATGACAAACATTATGAGCGTTTTGGCGGCTCCAACAGATGATGTCAAGTTGGTTAACGTGTTAAATTTATCACAAGAACGAAGAAAGATAAATAATACTCTTCTTCTCGGACACATCCAGACCATGTCAAAATTGCTTGAAGATAATACAAGAACATTTTCTAATGTTAAGAGTTTGATAGAAAAAAATGTGTAGAATTGCACAAACCACTATAATTAATGAAAGATTTGATGTACAAGTTTTGACACCTTTGGAGAATTTTGAGCTTAGTGAAGAAGACTGGAGAGTTCTTGAAAATGTAGACAATGATTGTGAAAACTAGTTTCTTCATATAAGTCATTTCGTTTTTTTATTTAAGAGTTTTTCTAAATAATAAAATAAAAACAAAGGGATTTGGTTTTCTGACACCCAATTTCCTTGATTTAAAAATAAATAGGCGTATAAATCCCGAATTAATAAATAAATAATCAAAACAGTCAATTGAATATTTATTTATAGAACGTTGACACCCAATATTTATGCTATCTGTACTACTATAAACATAGTAGTATATAAATTCGGCCGTTTTATGGGGTACCTAAATTTGAAACTATATTTTACAATACTTTAACTAAACGCGAGGGGACGCGAAGATCTGAGCAAAACATCGACACATCCAGAGGATGTGGAGTCCGCATCTGCGATGTATTTATTCCGAAGGCTGAATTATCCTTTTGATACATATTTATAGTAAATTTATATTAATATGATTATTTATTTCCTTAAAATGACGACTAAAGTTGTACAGAACTTAAAAGTTCCTCAGACTCTTAGAGTCGTATATGGGGATGAAAAAGATATTAAACTTTTTGAAGAAGAAAATGATTTAATATCTCATTTTAAAAATAAAAATCTGACTACATGTAAACATATTATTAACATTGACGGTTACAATGAAGATTTATATTATAATGAAATATCAAAGGAAATATTTATCTTAAAGCCATCTGGTATAAGAAGTATAAAACCAGCTTATACTAAAAAAATAAAACATGGAAAGTATATAAAATCAAAGTTAAATGTGAACCGTATGAAATCATTTCAGCCTTCGGCATGATGATTTGCCGAAGGCTGAAAGATACTAAGGAACGAGAAGTTCAGAAAAAACAATGAAATCTAAAACAATTTCATATAGTACTAATATATTATGTGAATCAATTCCAAAAAATATGGTGATTTGTTATTTGATGAATCATTACGGTGCATAGCGTATTTTAAGTGCGCGACTCATCACTCACCTCAGATCTGAGCAAAGCATCATGCCGAAGGCTGAATGATCGTTAACAAAGATTAATTAATTCTCAAAGAATTTATTAACATCTAAATTATTAACAGTAATACAGGTATGGTAAAAATCCATCAATTTGTCTTAAACACCTCAAGCCTTCATAGAAATTAATTACGACGTCATCCCGAAGAAGTACGATAAAAAATTGGACAAAAAATGTTGTATAACAAAAACAAAAACAAAATATAAAAATAAAAACCATAAAAAACTACAATTGTTTATAACTGTTCAATATATGATCATAACAAGTCGCGTCTAGTGTAAAACCGTAAGAAGTGACATCGGAGAACAAATTTCAACAACGCGTTTGTGGAGTTGGCTTACAATCGTCATCAGAAAATGTCGTTTCTAAATATAAAATATTTTTTCTGGTTTCGACTTATCAATTGACGACTTGAGGGGTTTAAGAAAACGATAGGGGTTTCGTACCGATCTGTATAATGTTCTATTATAGGAATAATCTTAGTAATAATATTATCTTTTAATTAATTTTGATTGTTTTCTCATTCTTCTATTTTATTAAGTTATAATTCTAATTATTCTTCCTTTTCGCCATCTATATTTTTGATTTTTTTATTTAAATCATTTTTGTAATTCTATATTGTATCTTAATTAATGTTTGTTTACCTTTAATTTAATAAAATACATAACCATTAATATAAATAGTAGATTTAAATCTTTTGTATTGATTAAGTCAACTTCTGGATTATTATTAATATATCTATTGATTTCTTTGTTACATTGTTTTAACATATATATTTCTTTTAAATTGTATTTGTTTATAATTTTCTGTAATGCAATAATATGTTTAGAAGTCTTATCAGATAAAGTTTGGTCTTTGTTTCGCCTTCGGCATGATACTTTGCTCAGAATGTTTTTCACCACATCTTTTAGATGTGTCGATGCATTGCTCAATATCATATTCATCTTCACTTTCATCAATTTCATTTGGAGAATAACTCATACCAAATACTGTTTTTGGTGTTACATCGTTCACTCTTTGGAGTGATGTTTTTCTTACTTTTATAATTTCAGAAGTATCTATTTGTTTTAATGGGTCCGTCTTTGTAGTTTGATTTTTTTGTTAGAAGAAAACAAATCTTTGAAAAATGTTTTTAAGGACTTTGTTTTTAATTTAGAAGTGATATCTGTACTCATTTATATTAAGATAAAAATAAAAATATATTATTTATACATTACTAAATATATTATTAATAAAGTAATATTAATGTATTATTATAATAACTATATAAATAAAATTCTCAATAGATATCTTCAGATAAGATGTAAATTTTATTACTTTGTTTTTACGAAAAAAAAACACTCAGGTTAAAATAACAGTAAATATCTATTAGATTACATGAACTGAAATTTCATTAATGAAAAATATTTGTTTATCAGCTCCCTTACAATAACCATATTTCATATAGTTTTAAATTATATAAAAATCAAGATAATTTTTTGATAATTATCTTGATTATTTAAATATAACGATATATCATAACCCTTTTGAATAACATTAGGACTAACATAACATTTAATTATCACATCTTTTATATTGTTATTTCTAATAAACTTATTGAAATATTCTTCAAATTTATTGATTCTTGATTCAAATTTAGTATAATCACATTCCAAGTTAGCTACAACTTTATTATCTTCTTCATTATAATAAACATAATCATTTATATCTTCTTCACTTGATTCATCATTATTATTATCATTACCATTAGAATAATCATAATTTTCTATAACATTTTCATCACTGGGTTCATCATTATATTCACTTACTCGTTCACTAATAGTTTGTTTTCAGAATCATCTATAAATTCATCAATATCTTCATCCAACACTATATTATTAATTAGTTTTACTTCACTTCGTGACTGAGGATCGAAGAACTGTAAAGGACAAAGCTCAATATACTTTATAAAAGCGGAATTGATTATCCCTTTAGTCATTTTAAGGAAGATAAAAAAATCATATTACTATAAATTTACTATAAATATTGATCTATAATTAAATTCAGATCTCGGCGTCCTTCTCGCGATTTAATTAAATTATGATAAAATATTGATTAAAATGGGTGCCCACAAATCCACATAATTTATAAACTACTACAACGACAACAGCATTGATTAAGCTCTTTTTGAATATTTTGGAAGGAAAAACATCAAAGTTTAGCCACAGGTTATGTATTTTTTAAGGAAAGTTACGAAAACAATGACGAAAAACAAATTATAAATAGACTACGATTATTAAACATTTCAAGTTATTTTTAACTTTTTTACAAACTATTAATATAATAAAAACAATTAAAACATTAATTGAATGAGTATAACGCAGCTTACACCGCTTCGATATTATACACATGGACTACCCAGTTTGATTCAATTAAAAGAGGAAAGTCACTCTAGTCTTGATTTGTTTTGAAGTTGTAACGTATAATACACGACACGTTTTTGGTGTGTTTAATACGTTTTTAAATTATTAAAACACATTATTATTGGTTATTGTCAAAACCATCCACAAAAACAATAACAAGTGAATATTTACTAACAAACCCCATAGTTAATAAATAAAATTATTACAAAACAAAATTAAAATTAATGTTCAGAACAGTTGAAAAATAAAACGTAAACAATTGATCTCTAATAGAGATTCTATACTTTTTTCAAAAAAATGAGAAATGAAATTTATTAATGTATAAAAGTCTATGACGAGAAGACGATAAACAAAGAAAGGAAAAAAAGAATAAAAACAATGAAAAAATGGCTGAAGAAGAGCTTAGAAAATAATGAGCCGTAATTGAGCAGATGAAGACGAGAAGATAACGATTAGAAAAATCGTAAAATATTATTGTTCCCTTTTATTTTTGTCAAGATATTTCTCTTTAAAAATATTCTATTTTTGGTTGTCAGGACATAGTCCTGTCGTTTCAGTGTTTTAAAGTAAAAAAGAAAAGAAACGGTTTTATTTATAAATTAGGTTAATTTTATCCTGATTTATTTTATCATTAATAAATATCTTTTTTTAAACATAGAAAAGCCTATAAAATTTATAAATATGAAGTATTTTTCTTTTTTCAAAATTAATTGATACTAATTATCGATATAAATTAGTAAAATTATCCGTTTTTTGGCTTTTATTTTAACATTTTTAATTTTCTGATTCTTTTTCCTTAGGCAAAATGGAAAAAAGAAAAATATTATAAAGTTTAAGAAACCTTAAAAGTTTTTATTGGTGTAATTTTTTTACAGACCAAAAAATGGGGAACCTTGCTTAGAAAAATAAAAAATATTGGTAAGTTGCGAAATTTGTATCCCTGTGAATCCAAATTATGTACAAACCATTTTCTTGGTTCTCGCTTTCACAAACATCAATGTTAATGAATGT